ATATATATATATATATATATATATATATATATATATATATATATATATATATACGTACATACATACACGCACATGACTTCTCCGATGCGCGAAAAAGTCCGTTACTGCCACGACACAAACGCACTTTTGCGTCGTGTCGCACTTCGCATGTCATATAGTTGTGCCCGGGACTGAACACTAGCTCGACGTCCACCTCGTCGCTATTTTCCGAATCAGCACGAAAAATACTGTTTCTCTTGCTCTCTCTTTCTTTCTCCTTCTCCTGCTTGCTCGCTCGCTCGCGAACCGGTATTTGGTATTTGCACGTGACGCACGTGATTCTCTCCGCGAGCCTCGCGATGCAGCAGAAGCATGAGCAAAATCTTCCGCAGTATCGTTATATCTTTCACGATGTTTATCTTCTTTATATATACATAATTATATATAACATATGTGAATAAAGTGCGTAGTTTCAATAGTTTGTTGGAGATAGGTATTGTGGCATGTGAATTAATGTTAATAATTTGGGGAAAAAATCAATCTGATGGATAAAGTTCCGAAAAGTACTCACCTCCGATTTTTTTTAAACTCAGTATTCCTACGTATATTGACGCGCTGATTACGAATATTATAGTGAAAATTAGCGACTACTTGATTTTCATGGTGAACACCATGAAAAACCCATAAAAATTATGGTTTTTTACGTTTATCTTAGTAAATACGGAAAATCATGATAAATGTTTGAAACAAAAGTTTTAGATCTCACTGGGATAAACATTTAAGGTTCTATGCATTTTCACCGTACAAATGATAATTTTCGAGGAAATCGAGTATAAAGACCGTAACAACGTTGTTACTGTCGTTATAATCGATTTCCTCGAAAACTATCATTCGTACGGTGAAAATGTATAGGATCTGAAATGTTTATCTCTGTGAGATCTAAAGCTTTTGTCTAAAATATTTATCACGATTTTTCGTATTTATTGAGATAAACGTAGAAAACTAATTTTTATGGGTTTTTCATGGTTTTTACCATGAAAATCAAGTAGTCGCCAATTTTCACTATGATATTCGTAATCAACGTGTCAAAATACGTAAAAATACTGAGTTTCAAAAAAATCGGGAGTGAGTACTTTTCGGAACCACACCCTTAATATTTTTAATAACATTTTTTTTTATTATTTACAACTTTATAAAAACTCAGACATTTTTGAAAATTCTTTCACGTGGTAAAATGTTTACGAACAAAATTTATTATGTTCCTTAGCAAGAATGATCTTACTGACACAGGAGATTGATTCACGCACGTGAATCAATCTCCTGTTGCAAGTCCGGAAAAATACTCGGCGCGTGCGTTGACACTGTCAAACATAATTATCTTTCCATAAAATTCAATATTCGCACTAACGATCACCTCTCATTTGCCTTCTTCCTCTCACTTGTTCGTCTCTTATATGTAATCTTTCATATTATTAGTTATTTCAACATACATATTTTGCCGCTTATCTGTTAATGCTTATATTTGTGGATTTAATGACGTCAGGACAGTGTTATTTTTTCTCGTCGCGAAATTTATTCGTAAGACGAGCATCGTTAACACGATGATGCATTGATAGCGTATACAAGGTGCTTTAGATGTCGCATCGTTAAATTTCTTGATGCAGCTGTTAGTAAGAAGCGAGTGATTTTTTTGAAGTTCTTAGAGCTGCACATTGGCCGCACGAAACCGTTCTCTTTCGGATATCCGCGATATACGAACAACGAGAAAGAGAGAGATACCGGAACGAGAATCTGATTATGTCCTTCGTAATAGCCACGTTCGCTTTTCGCTCACGGCGATGCGCGTTTGTTGTTTCTCACGCGGAAGTCGCGTTCTAAACACCGTCGATTAGCGAGACGGATTGTATGGAAAGTGAGTCACCGTGAGCGATCGAAAGCAACGATTGCTCGTCTAATAATCGCGTTCGTCGCCCGCACGAGAGCCATCGAAGTTGCGGATTAGGAAATCGTTGCCTGATCGACACGTGGGGATATCTGAATTCAGTAATTGAGGAAAACCGCGCATTGCGTGCGGAGATTCGTCGTGAGTTTTTCATATTTGCGATCGGTATAAATATAAAAACGGTGGTAGAGACTGTGTAGCCTGAGACACGCGATGACTAAGACACGGTATTAAAGTATCTAACTACACATTAAAGATTTCATTAATTACAGTTCAATTATAGCACGTATCTTCTACAATCTACGATATTATTAATCTACGAAGGTGACCCGCGCGTGCCAACGTGATTGGAAAACGTGATCGGAGACGCGCGATAATTTGTATAATTATACACGAGGCGCACGAGTGTACACGCAAGTCGTTCTAAAATTACCGCTTCTTTTTTAACTATACATGCCTATCACGTCGGAAACGATCCGTTTTTAGGTGGAATGTATTTTAGCTAATAATATCTCTTAATCGTATATAACGTGTTAAGAGTACAATTGTTACCACCTGTGTT